CTAAGCCAAAGAACAATTTCTCAAATTCACAAATCACCTGATTTCTCCAAGCTTTTCCCAAGGTCAACTCTAAATTGCTTTTTCTAAAGTTGGATTCACAAACTACCTTTTTAAACTGGCATAAGGTGAAAGAAACATTGATGCTGTGTATCTAGGAACCATGTCAGAGCAAGAGACATGCCAGCATCATTTATTTTGTTTTGGACATCAGAAAAATTTTTTAGTAATAGCTTGTAGTATTGTATGCAAATTAAATAGTGAATTAGAAGAAATGACATTTGAAAAAATTATTGAAATTATAAAAAAGAACATATGACCAAAGAAAAGATTGGTCATTGTCAAAAGCACCAAGTCTTTAGAGTCAAGACAAGCACCCAATGAGTCCATTATACAATACTTACATAGATTTAAAAACAAGCTTAGAATTGTTAATTTGAAAAATTGGGAGCATGGGAAATGAGTATAGAAAATGGCATAATATACAATGGGGATATAATAGTAGCTCCACAAATACTGAGAAAGGACATATTAAAAGGAGTACATGATGACATGCATTGTGGTATAGCAACAACACAAAAAAAACTAAAGTTACAAGCTTGATGACCAAGATATTCAAATGATGTAGAGGAATATGTTAAGAGATGCCCAAAATGTGTGGAAATAAAAAACTTCAAGAAAGCAAAAATTCGCTCATGGCCCAAGGAAGCAGAGCCATGGGTTAAGATCCACATGGATCATACATATATCAAAGGTAGGGGATTGTTCTTAATATTAGTGGACTCATATTCAGGATGGCCAGAGGTTGTCAGAGTAAAAAACAGAAAAGCCACCACAATAAAGCAAGTACTAAGAACTATATTCTCAAAGAATGGAGTACTCCAGACAATAGTCACCGACAATGCACCCGAATTTTGCGATGAGAACTTATGTGCATCCCATACAAGACACCACCATATCCCCCACAATCTAATGGAATTGTGGAAAGAATGGTACAACCAGTAAAAATGGGATTAAAAGTATTCTCACCACTTAATGAAAGCACAGAAGCATATCTACCAAAAATGCTCCTCAGTTACAGATCCATACCACATGTGAGAAGAAAACCGATCTTTTCAGCATTAATGGGAAGACAAATCAGAGCCCCCATAACTACGTCCCTTGCAACAAAAGAAAAGGTATGGTATAGAAAGAATGAATAGGCTAATCCAGGAGAAGCAAATTTCCTGATACAAAAAGGACACAACATGGCTATACTTGAGAAAAAAGGACAACATATATTGGCACATGCAGATCAGTTCAGAAGTAGAAACAAACTGGATGACATACAAATGGAAGATCAAGAACAAGAAGAGACAGAAAATTGGAAAAAGTGGAACAGAGCAGGAAATGGAAGAAAGTGAGAATGAAAAGACGGACGAGTATGAAGAAGAAAATGAAGAAAGACTGAGATCACCATTAAAGAGAAAACAAAAAAGACAAGAGGTAGGACAAACAATACAAAAATAATCAGGAATAGTAAAAGAAAAAAACAAGGGTATATGACCTCTCTGATTCAGGGAGGTGTAGTATCATATGCAAATTAGATAGCTATAAATAGAGAACAACTGGTGAACATATGGAGGCTATGCCTAACAAACACGGTTGCTGTTCAGGACATGGAGAACTGTACTATGACTACTACTACACAGAGAGACATTCAAAATATGACATACCTAGTATAAAAATTTTATTAGAAGTTGAAAATAATTAAAATTAATAATTAATTAAAATGTGTGAATAAATAAGTATTAAATTGTCTAAGTTTGTTTTATACATTTACATTTGTGAGAAGTGTGAAAGTTTTTTTTATTTAGAAATGGCTATAAAAAGGACAGCCTGAAATAGCAGTCATGGCAGACTGTTGGTGATCATTTTTTTTCAAATTTAAAAAAATATATTTGCCTTATATTTTTTGTCCAATCAAAAGGGGTAATTTCCACCCTCATCAATTTAAGGTTGAAGCTTGTTTGATCCATCTCTGAGAGTATATAAGAAGATGGAATGTGCAGAAGAAGAGAGTGATACATCCCAAAGAAGGGGCAGAAGGAATTGGGACACCACATGTGATAGTAGTTGGCTTGCAGAATGGAGGCAAGAAAAGTACTTGGATGTCAGATATGAAGCCATGGAAGGGTTTTAGGCTTCCCCATTTGAAAGTTGCCTGCAGATCTAAAGGCATAAAGCATTCTTAAAAACTATGCTGACAAAAGACATTTCACAGCAACATAAAATTTCACAGAGACTCTCATGGAAAAAACAAAAGCCAAAGAAACACATGGAAGCCAAGCAGAAAGAAAACAAAATGAAATTGCAAAAGTACCATTAAACTTCCCATAGACTCTTGTGAGATAAAGCAAAGTAGTTTTTTTTGTTTGTCTATTAGGTGGGTGCAAATTCTTCCTTTTTCCAACAGTTTATATATTACCATCTCAATTTTTTTCCTGATTTCAAAAATTGTATATTAAATCTTTTTAGAGCCAATTATTTCTATAATTTTGTTATATTATCATGCCTTGGTCATAATAAATTCCACAAAGGGAAATTTTTTGTAAAATTTGTACTTTTTTATATGGTTTTATTTCTATAAAATGTTTGTACCTTTCAAATTTCATGAGGCAGTTTTGAGTTTTTAGTTATTGTATGCACCTTTTTTAATATGTGATAAGAGAGGTGACATTTTCTTCTATTTCCTCCCCCACCCCCCAAAAAGATTCTTTTACTACTTTTCATGTGTAAATATGATTTTTAATTTCATATAAGATGTAATATGTTAAGGAACATACTTTTTCCTAGTTTTTGTTAGATTTGAAGTTATTTTTCTCCAAGGAACACAGGGTATCCTTGTTAGTTGGTCACTATGCAAAGACTACTCTAAAAAATATCTGGAGTGGTACAAAAATTGAAGAAATTAGTGATAGATCACTGGTACTCAGAAAGTAAGATTTATAATAATAGGTATGAGATATTTCCTTGATGCTCACTATCAAGATGTAAGTAAAATGCTTTATAATTCAAAAATGCAGTCATCAAGTATTCCTCCAGGAACTATTCTACCAAGGATCATTCTGATTTAGACATAATGTAAGTTTATAGTGGGTTATCAGTTATAGTGAAGTGTATGAGTGTTGAAAAAGATTAGTTTGATTTGACCTTGTTAGTTAGATAGCCCACCATAAGAGGAGTATAAAACAAGAAAATCAAATTGTGAATTGAAACAATAAAGTTATATACATATAAATCAATTAAGGTCTCTTCAGATAAAATTAATATATTTTGGTTGATACAAGGTCGTCAAAATGTTCGTAGTAGTCTTCGCAAGAATGAGTTTATGTGTACGTAGGCAGGAACATACGTGTGAATGTATGTATGAGCATTATCCTAGGGTTGGAATGTCTTTTGAAGTAATCGCTCAGTTTTAAAATGTTCCTTTCGTTTATCAAGTATAAAAGAGGTGAGGGAAAAAGGTAGGGATAATAATAATGATCACTTCACATTTGATTTGTCACGGGATGTGTTAATACACTCGTCTCCTTCTCTCTGGTGACAGGCGAACTTGCCCGTCTTTTATTTTGTTTGTGGGGCTTGTAAAGGTCATTTGGGAATTCACTCCTGGATATGATTCGGGCCTTTCCATTAGATGACGAACAAATTTCACGTTGGCTTGTGAAAAGGTCCATAAAAGAATTTGTTTCTGAGAATTGAAGATTATTTGAATTTTGTTTTTAAATGTTTCCTAGTTTTCTATTGGCCGAAAAACATTTTGCATCAGGGTGTGAAATTTCATGAGTTGTTTTGGATTCGCTTTTGTGTGTGTGTTAAGCAAAGTTTGTAAATTCGAGTCTTATTTAATTTCTAACAAAATCAATGAGTCAGTGCTTAGCATTTGAATTTGAAATCTAGATCTTGTTTTGTTCACTACAGGTTTGGGTGTGAGTTACTGAGTGATTTGCTTCACCACTGAGAATTTTTCTTGAGAGATCATATTCTTATACCACTGAAAGAGTATATACTGATTATCTTGTTAATAATGACATTTTTAAAGAAAAACCTGTGATAAATCCTATGTATATGTAGTTGTAGTTGCAGGATCATCTTTTGTGTGCGTGTGTATATTCTGTGGTCGGATCATACCAGAGGAATCAAAAACAGAATGCTTAGATGCTCTATAACTTAAGTGGAGGATAGAAGTTGGTATCCATATGATCAATTTTAGTGATATGCGGTCATTTTTACATTAATACCCTAAATTCCCGAAGGTGCATTGATAAAAATACCACAGACATCAGGACAAACTTAAAATTTCCCTTTCACCGTGGTGAGATGGATCAAATCACGTGCGAAGTTACAACAGCGATTTTAATTTTTAACATTACATTCATTGGAATGTTATCGTTGTTGCTTTATGAGTATAATATTATATAAAACAAAATGATAATAAATAATATTACAAACATTTTATTTTAATTGAAAATAATTCTGAATCTTATTTTCAACTAGCAAATCTCATTCGAACGAGATGTGAATTGAAAGTCACGTGACAGAAAAGTATCGTAGTTGGTCTCCATGTTGAAAAGAAACACGTCCAATTAATTTACAGCACACGTTGATTATAATACTGAAAGTAATTTTTTTCGTTTTACTTTGTATTGTGATTGTAAAATATACATTTATGGATCACTTTAGTTAACTAACTACTTGTAAAGAGTGAAATTTATCAACCATTTTTCTATTTTTAAATCGGAAAAAAGAGGCAATGTTTTTTTCCGATTTACTACTGAAACAGTAGTAAAACAACGAACAAAATTCGTTTATGCTTTATTTTTTAGCAAAACCTATTTATTTTTTAACCATTTGATGTTTTTGTATTCACTTATTCTCCTGTAAAGTTGTCTAAGGAGAATATTGGATCCGGAAAAAAACCGGAAAATTAATTTAAACTAAACCGTAAAAGGTTGGCGAAGATGATAATCGACAATGTCGAAGCTTTGAAAACCTGGTTGACCAAAACTTTATCGCCGATGTAAGTTTTCCAGTCTGTTATTTATTTTTAAAAACATTGTTTCTTGACTTTTTGTTAATTTTTGTTATTGTTATTTCTTATTATTGTTTATGGTTTTGTTACAATAGATTGAATAGTTATAAAAGGGAAAAATTGTTTATGGCAGACGCTTTTAAATAAAATTATAAGAAAGAATTTTTGAAAAAAAATTATATTTGTAAAAGTTTAACAGTAAATCCAGAAAAAATTATAGCCATTGTTAAATTAAAGAAAAAGATGCAATTCGAGATTCAATAAATGTTGATAATTCACGGAAGCAATATTTATTTTTTTCTATGATTAATTAAAGTGCATAAAAATACGTTATTTTTCCAGTAAAAAGTTTATCAAAATTCAAAAGTGAATAGATTTACATTTTTAAAAGAATATTTTACTTATTGTTTTTCCAGAAATAATTTTTAGTTAATATCTGCAATAAATTGTTTTATTTATTTATTGGTATAAAAAGAATTTTAAAACTATTTTTATGAACTTAAAAGAATTGCCTTCATAATTACATTTATTTTTACGTTTTGTCTTCACTTCATCATTGACGCTTTTTTTTATTATCAACGTTTCAACTGATACGTGTTTGGCCTTCCTCTGCTTCGTGAAAACAAAAAAAAAAATGAGAATCCAAATATTTCTTAAATGTTTTATTGAACGACCTGATAAATAAAATGACTATTACACGCCTTCAAAATGTTTTTCGTATGTATCAGAAGTTTTGACAGCTTCGTTCTTTACATTACAATTACATTTGGTTTTTCTTTTAAGAATCCATTTTTATTATTTTTCCCCTCGCGAAACACCCAAGTTACAAGACTGGCTATTATTATGGCTTCATGTTTCTGTGATGTTAGATCTTGCTAATTTGAGGAAATAAAAAGAAAAAGGTAATAGCTAAATATACCTAACCACTGGATGCAACGTATCCCTGACACGGCTGAAGAACATAATGTCAGCTGAAACGTTACGATAAAAAAAATCAATAAAGATGAAGAATATATAGTCCTACGGATTTATTTTTAAACTTTTCATTAAAGTCTATTAAACAGTACTACTTTTTAAAATTTAAGAACATTTTTATTTAAACTGATTTCATTTTTTTTTTTTTTTTTTTTTTTTGAAAAAGACAACAATCTAGTAAATAAATTAAATAACAACAATTTTTTAAGAAAAAAAACTTAAGCTTGACAAAATGAAGGAAATGTATTGTAAACAATACATGTTTAAAAGTAAATGTATCATTTGGTTGGAGTGTTTTCCCCCTTTTTTTCATTTAACGATTTTTGTCTAAAATTTGCCAAATTCCTTCGAACTAACATTATCCGCATAAATTTTTGGCCGATGTATCCCCACGAGCCTTCCTAATTAAGAACAATGAACTGGGTGATAAACAAGCTAAGTTTGTGTTTTAAAAATCATTTAAGTTGTCTTGTTCAACATAATTTCTAAATGTTTCGATTGATTTAATTTTTAACATTTTCTGCCTAACAACTTTAAAATCTTTTGTTACTAATTCACTGGAATTATTTGAGATTGTTCACTTTTTCTCCCGAAGCTATCATTTTTAGGCTAAGCTCAAAATTAAAATTTCCTTCCGATTTAAAAAAAATTGTTGTGTATTTTTAAAGTGGAACATTAAGAATGTTGAATAAATTTGTTTTTAATTGCTTTTTGTAGGCTGTGTGTGTCTGCAGTTGGGTAAAAACTTGACCGTTTTTCTTATTTCATCGCCTAACAAATTAACGTGTTATTTTTTTTTTTTCCTCATTAACGAACTTGTAGATAGACCTCAACAAAACTGTTTTGCCTGTAACCATCTCAGATTTCAAGAACTTACGAAAAATAACACTGGTCGTAATAAGATTAAAAGAATATGTAGCACCATGTTTTTTTATATGGTGCAGGAGAAAAAGTGTCCATTTCATAATAATTGGTGATTGTGCTAAAATTTTACTGAAGCAGGAAAACGCTAGTGGTAAAAAAAAAAAAAAAAAAAAACGAAATAAAAGCCACTAGCTTTCGTTTTGTTTTTTATTTTTGTTTTTAATGAGATTTTTGTTCTCTTAGTGGTTGCCAGAAAGATGGCACTAAAACTATCTTAAGTTAATCTAGCAAGGATATAACCTTGTCTTTTATCACCTGAAATTTCAAAATTATCTACTTTTACTAGGTATGTTTTCACTCTCTCTCTCTCTCTCATTATTATTATTTAAAAAAATAGTTGTGATGAAACAAGATTTGAATTATTTATGCCCTCCCAGACTTTATTTAGAAATAACTTAATCTATCAGATGGATTCCTTTTAGATTTATTTCATTCATTGTTGGAAGGAAGTCTAATTACTGCAAAATGACAATTTTTGTGTCAAATTTGAACAAATCATTTGATTTTGTTCAAAATGCGATTGAGTGGTATGAAATAAAAGTTGAAAAAAACTGTATTGGTGATAACTTTAAAAATCTCTTAATATGAAATCTACAGTGTCATTTTTTGTTTGTTAATTACTTTGTTGCATAAATGGAAATGCAGTTAAAAACAGCTGATGTTGTTGGTTGTTGTGAGTTTTGTGATTGTGGTTTCAAGGTTGTTCCAGGTATCTTGCTAATTACAAGGGGGTGCTGAAAAGTTCTCGGTCAGACTATATAATGTTTGGTCAAGTTTTGGAAAGCGGGTTGGGCTTGAGAACATTTTAGCACTCTCTCGTAAGCATTACAAAAATAAAACATTTTTTTCTTCTTTGCTTACTGCCCCTTTGCTGCTAAATTTGAACTGCTTCTATTTTCTTGCCCAGAAAATCTGCTTTCTATTCTGTTCTTCTGGGCATTGTAATGAATGAATGTTCATTATTGTTTGCACTGAAATTTTCTCTCTCCAACTTTACATGGAAGCAGGCATGAAAAGATGAAGAGTCTGGGGTATTTACTTTACTGAATTTATTTTGACATGTAATGTACCCTCACGGTTCTGTTGCATGTTCGCATCACTTTGATAACCTTGAAAAACACATTACCCCTTTCCTCTAAATAGTTGCAAAATCCTGATTTCCACTTCAAATTGCCCTTCTTTCACTTTTCACCATTATGTTACACATGAGAATGTTTAATATTTCATGCTAGGAATTGGTAGAGACTATAAAAAAAATAACTAATCTGCATTTGCACTGAGATTTTTTTTTTCTTAAATTCATATCTATATTTGTTTTTGTTTTGTTGTTTTTTTTTTTGTTTTTTTGCCATTAACTCTTTTCATGATAATGAAAAAAGAACAAAACAATGTAACATCTTGAACTGTCTTAATGTGGACTACAGTTTCTCTTTTTCTCCTGCAGATGTGATGCAGATCCTGCTGCTTTAGCCAAATATGTTGTTGCCTTGGTGAAAAAAGATAAACCAGAAAATGAGCTGAATGATAACCTAATTGATCAACTTGATGTTTTCCTTCAACAGCGTACGTTCTCACTTTTCAATGCAATTTTACTCCAGATACTTAAATCTGGATAGGGATTTTCTTATTTTTTTTTTATTTTGCTGTGTATGTGTGTGATTTTGTATGTGAATAGAAGTGCCAAAGATTTGACAACTATCTAATAATGTTTAACTCTTCCCATCACCTAAATAATGGTAGCAACATGACACAATATAGTCTGAGTTGTTGGAATCATCATTTGGGTATGTCTATGACTGAACAGTATTGCATATGGCTACAGGCAATTTAATGACATTTGCATATGTCCCATGTGTGTGTATAAGAGGGGGTTTCAATTTGGAAAGCATAGAGGAGAGGAGCAATGGAGTATCAGGGAATCAGTCAAGTTTTACTGGAACAGGTTTTCTGTCCATACGATGGGAGATTGTGTTATCTTGCTGGAAGAAACAACCACCAAGAAATATAGCAAGCATAAAAGGATGCAAATGACCGACAAAAAAGATCTTGGTATGTTACATTTGCCAAGCTAGGCTCCAATGGAATGCACTCTACACAATTTATATAGCCAGCACCATCTTGTGTAACATTTAGTTAATTGGCTCGATCTATATCCTTATGTTGTTCTTTCATACATTAACTTGACTGCCCAGGCAAATATGGTGTCAGGCTTTCACAATTCAATGGCAATGTTTTCTGGTCCTAGTAATGTGCACTAACCTATGATTTGGTGTTAATAATGGTACCCTTGTATGTTGTTGACAATCATGAAATCCCATGGAATCTAGTGTACAATGTACTGAGAAGTTGATGATACTAGAATTGAATTGGGATGTCATTTGATTCAATGTTCTTTATTGTTCCCACTTATTCTTTGTTAGTCACCAGCAAACTTGGTCTTGTATCATGTGTAAGGTGCCTGCAGTTTTTATATGGCATTGAAGAATTTTCCCAATTTTCATTATACTTGAATCTGTAGCCTAAGAGAAAACTAGATGAGGAACCACCTTGGAAATAGTGCTTTCATTTTTCTGCCATAGCTACACTACTTTTTTATCTATTACATTGCATATCTTCCATCTTAGTCTATTTCTACAAGTGGGCGAGGGCAAAACCATCCACTATATATTCCTGTCTGTAAGTTTTGAGCATTTCAGTCTCTTTTAAAGTTCTTTAATAGCAATGTAACACATTTGAAAGAGAATTAGTTATGAACCATTATTGCAAAATACAAAGTTCACCAGAATAATTGATTAATTAGTGGTTGATGCATTGGAAACTGATTGTGAGTTAACATGACAGTGGCTTCTTTTTTTGGAACCCAGAAATTAGACGCCACCTGACCAACTTCACAAAATCAGTATCCATCCATTTTATCAATTTGGTCATTGAGATTTGGGGAAGTGGGTCATGTTGCGAATTTTTTAGAACTGTAGATTTTTGTTTTTGAAGTGTTTCCATTTTAAAACACTGTTTTCCTAAGGAATAATGGAATATTTATAGGCCATTTATACACCTTGATTTATTAGTTCACTTTTGAATTTCAGTGGGATTTTTAGTATTTAGTCAATTAGAAAATTTTTTTAAATATATGTTTTATATATATATATATATATATATATATATATATATATATATATATATATACACACACACACACGCTCAAGAAGCTGTTATATTTTTTTATTTTTTTCTTGTTTCAACTGTAATCCCTTTATTTAATTTTATGAGTAAAATTTTATTTGAAATGTCATATGATGGTGTAGAGAATATGTCCCAAATCCAAAAATAACTACAATCAAATATTTTGCTCAGAATGTTTTCAGTTGCTTATTTTTTATTCAGTTAATGTTTTAAAATCATTCAGTTACTTCAATAACATGTTATTAATATTAATGGTGATTTATTTATTTATTTATTTATTTTTTTTTTTTTTACATTGTTGAAGTTGTGGCAGTGATTACTAGAAATGTTCAGAACTGATTGATACCAAACGCAGTTGAAGTTATAAATAAAACTGCAACCTATTTGCAAAAACTTGTGTGTGTAATAAAAAAAAAAATCAGTTAAATTTTTTCTTTCTAGGTACACGCTCTTTTGTCAGTGGACTGTTTGAGGCCTTGAAAACAAAATCTTATATAAATAGCTCAACTAATGGAATGTCATGTGTTACTGTACCACCGAGTTCTCAGGGTGCTACCAACAATTATCAGAACAGTACTGTTTTGAATCAGAGTAACCACGGTCCAGCCTCTGCTCCACAACCACCTCCAAAAGCTGATCGCAAACGAAAAATTGTTGATGGTTCTGATGCAGTAAGTGTTTTAAGATATTTATTTTCTTTAATTTGTCAAAGTATTGTTATTGTTTTATATTATGGTTTATTGAAAGAATGTTTTTTTTGTTTTTGCAAGAACACAATTAGCTATATTTTTTTGTTTTTGTAGGGTCCGAGTGAAGAAGAAAAAGATTATCGCAAAAAGCGTTCTCGAAGTACAAGCCCCAAAGGAGGCAGATCGAGGTGTGCTTTTATTTTTAATTAGCCTATTTTATTTGTAATTTATTTTTTAATTTTTTTGTAATTTTGTTTATTAGTTTCATATTTTACCAAATGTAAGATTTATGGTTTTGAAATACCTTTTATGCAAAAGTTTGAAGAATTATATATATATATGTATAAAATTATTTTTATTATAAAGGATTATAATAAAAACATGTTGAAATTTCTACACAAAAGTTTTCATGTTTCAATACTTTGATTGTACTTCAGGCGATGGTAAGTAACTGGTGATTAAATGTAGCAATTTCAACATTTTTTATTATCTCTTATAATAAAAATAATAATATATTACTCTACTTTGCATTGAGCACTTTTAAAAAGTAAATGCTATGAATAGTGGAATTTTACTCCATCTGTTCTTTCTTGCATTTTTTTGTGTGTGTGTATATATATATATATATGTATGTATGTATATATATTATAAATTAATTGATTTAAAATATGGTTTTTTCCGTTGCACAGTTCTAACCATGTTTCAAAAATAGAAGCTAAAAGCCCCAAATTTAATTTTGCAATTAAATGATTTGAAATATTCTCATTTTTTAATTTTTATTATACTATATTCGTTTTATGAACAGTTAAATGTATTAGAATACCTTTTATTATGTCGGATTATTTTTACAAGTATAAGTATGTATATTAGGGTACATTTTAAAAAAAAATTTTTTTAAGTAAAATTTATGACAATGACGGCAAAAATAGTTACTTAATTTACTGATTTAGTAAACTTTTATTTTATATATATATAAACCTAGTAATATATTGTTTCTCGTGTAAGTACAAAGGACATGGGTCATTCATAAGCTTACATCTTCTGGCATTTCATATTAATTTTATTTTACTATAGGTGTTTTATTGGATTCTTTTAAGTGCTTGTAGTGCTAAGTAAAAGAAGTTTAGGTTAGAATTCATTTTATTTAACTACAATTTTAATTATAACTTTAAAATATTTTCATTGTTATTTTTAATAGACTATATTACTTTATAACAGAAGGAAATGTATTTGAAATTACTTATAGTAAGTAAAATTATTTTTCCATATCAAAGTATATGTATATTACGATTTTAAAACTTTTATATTTAAATATTATTTAAGTAATATTTATGGCACTTACTGGAAAAATAGCTAATTCATTTCTCAGATTTAGTAAACTTTATTTATTAATTAATTTATTTATTTGTTTTAAATATCTATAAACTAAGTAATAAAGTTTCATATGTATGTACAAAGGACATGGGTCGTTCACAGGCCTACATCATCTAGCTTTTCGTTATAATTTCATTTTTCAGTAGGTGTTTTATTGGATTCGGTAGTACTTTTCGTTAGAGATACAATGATAGAGACATAAGGAAAACCCAGACAACCCTTGTCCAATTGAAATAGATTTATCTGTAACCATGGAAACGTGATTTTAGCTGTGTCTTTAAAACCCAGTAATTTTAAAAGTTACTCCAAAATTCGCTTGAGGATGAAATGGAACTAATGTCTTTAATTTAATTGCAAAATTAAATTCGTGGCTTTTTAGCTTCCATTTTGAAACATGGTTAGAACTGTGTAGCGGAAAAAAACATATTTTAAATCAATTAATTTTATATATATATATATATATATATATACATATATATATATATATATATAATCAAATTTAGGTATTCATAGTTGAGATTAGAAATAAACAAATTTCTCTACCAGTGTTCTAAGAAATAACACTCAAGCTAAATTATTCCAAATGAAAACCTCTTATCCAGAATTGAAATGAAAGCAGTGATGACACCTACCCTGAATACATTATAAAAATTCAGGATGTGGAATTAGTAAATACTAAACTCTTTAAATACTTCGGAGTACGGATCCGTTATAATAAATTTAGTATAAGAGAAAAGAGAATTGAACAAAGAATAGGCTGCGTCACTAGTTTCTCCCAACACTGCACATTGATACAAACTAAAGCATCAACCTGAAAACTTAAGCCATGTTCTTAAATTGTCTTTTCAGGTCGAGGCATTCATCTGGATATCATACAAAGCACTAGATCTGTTCACAAATCTTTTTTTTGTGGCAGCTATACAACCGTTTCGTTTGTGTTATGGTTAAAAATAGCCTTAGCTAATGAAGCTTGAGAGTTTTGGCAAATATCATCCTGCATTGAACTGGGGCTACAGAATTGTGGACTGGGGCTACAGAATTGTGGACTGGGCTACAGAATTGTGGACTGGGGCTACAGAATTGTGGCCCATGCTAGAATTATGGCCTGGGGCTATACAGATTGTGGACTGAGGCTACAGAATTGTGGCCTCTGGCTACAGATATATGGCCTGGGGCTACAGAATTGTGGCCTGGTGCTACAGAATTGTATATCTTTCTACATAATTGTACATCTGGGGCTACAGGATTGTGGCCTGGGGCTATATATATATATATATATATATAGAATTATATATATGTGCTAGAAGAATTGTGGCCTGGGGCTGCAGAATTGTGACTGGGGCTCCAGAATGACAAACAAAGAAATGCACCAAATTTTCTTTATATCACTTGAGGACTACCAAGAGCAGTAAGAAGTAAAATGAATAGCATATATATCGAAGAGAAAATAATTCAGCTTAATCAAGATGTTGCTATTCACATTCCTGCAAAGAACCCCCCCCCAAAGACAGGAAAAAGTGATAACAGCCACTGTACTTTAAAAATATTTTACTGAAAAATTGTTTGAAAAATTTTACTGGAAAATTGGAACCAAAAGAAGTACTTCAACCAAAGAACTTCAAAAGGATGAATGCTAAATGTTTCCTAAACCACCAGTACCATTAACATTTAGTAATAGATTGATGTTATTTTATGGTTTATCAACCTTTGCGGGTTATTTAAAGCTATAAAATATATTTAGATTGTAAGATTTTCATTTTTGGAAAAAAAAATTCCCTGATACAAAATTTTTAAATTTAACCCATATATGGGGTGAGATTAAGATGGATTCATACCTTCCCAGGGTTTATTTGTTAATATAATGAATTAAATTGAAATTGAATGCAGCTCCTGATTTCCAAATGAAAATAAACATTCATTACATTATTACATCCAAACTTAAAGAACCTAGTATTCCCAAGCGGTCACCCATCTATGTAAAAAAAGGCTTTTGTTGCTTTAAAAAAATAATGATCATAAAAGGACCAGTGTTGGAATTAAAACTTAAAGAATGTCTGGTTTTCATTACATTATTATCTTTTAATTATCTAGCCAGTCACAGTCACTCATTTCAAACCGTAATCCATAACTCCACCTGCTAGTTCTGGGTATGACGATAAACTGCACCCATTAGCAACGCCTTTGATCAGAAGATTGAAGGTTTTAAGGAGCATGAAACCCCCACTTAAATGCTGTCATTCCTAGATTCACCCTTACCTGTAGCGGTAACACGTGTTTGGGTCCCTATCTGTTGGCAAATATTGAACCCCAAAGTCTTTATCAACTACAAAATATATATCTAAAAAAAACATACCTTTACTCTGAAATTATAAGATAATATACAGAATATTTGTAGTTGAAAGCATAAAATTATGTACAAAATATTTAGATTTTTGGCATTATAGAATGTTGATATGCCACTAAACAAAATCAACCAAACAACCAATATGAAAAAAAACTCTTTCATGACATTAGTCCATATAATATCTGACAATTTATAAAATCAAACTGTGTTTCAAAATATAATTTCAACAAAACTACAACATAAAACAAACATATCACCGCCTCTAGTAATTATGTTCCCACAAACAATATATATATGCCAAAATTTGAGTATCATTTACCATGTATTCGACTGTGAAAACAGAATAACATATATCATATTTTAGTTACTTCAAAGCACCCAAAAAATTGAAGTTGGCCATTAAGTGACCCATAAGAAATTGATGTGCCATTAAACAAAGCTACAGCATCTGGTATTCCCAAGTGGTAATTCATTTATGACGTATAGAACGAGAGAACCATTGTTTCAACATGATACGGCCATAAGCTCCCATAAAATGTTTTGGATGAAACACAATGGTGTTTAAAAAGAAAGCATCTATGAATGAAAAACAAGCTATCGAAATCAGACACAAATTATATTCTTTATGTTGTATCATTTTATTTATAAAGCAAATGATGTTGTCATTATGTTACAAGATAGAAAATCGTATTTGACTTTATAAACGACAAAATAGTTCAATTTATTCCTCATAATTCTTCAAGAGGATTATGAAATCATATATGATATCAAAATTCAATTCAATTATTCAAAAATATATTTTATAACATTTTATATTTTATATTATTAACATAATGTTTAAATAAAATAATCTTTATAAAAATTATTATAATTTTCTTCTTAATTTAATTCTATATTCTAAATAATATTCTCCTAAATTATCATTTGAATTGTATTCATTCGTTACTTATCAGTCAGTCAGTTAAAATGCCATACGTGGTCCGCATTCGTGCGATTATGTCTTTTTATCAATGAGTGATTATAGCAGATTTATCACAGTATGTTGCTGTTTTTTGTGGTAGACAGGTTGCCAACCAATGCTATAGCACCCAGTCTGTATCTGTTGACAAGCAAGGCTATAGCACTAGTCTATATCATTTGATTGTATCTCTTTTTTCCCTCCATAGCTGGAGGAAAAGAGATACATATCAAATGCCATACATGTGTACATGCTTCAGCAATCATGTGTCTTCGATTCATGACTGACTAGACAGAAGATTCTCCCACAGTAGTTTATATTGTGTGTGATAGATTGTGTGTGTCAGTGTGTGTGTGCGTGTGTGTGTGTGTCTGTAGTCTGGATCCAGTGTGTGTGTGTTATTCAACCCATAGTTGGGGGATAAGTGATAAAAATAATGATATCTTGCACATTTATAAATCTATCATGTTGTTTTGCCGTTGTTAAGCAAATGAAACAAAAAACATATAAAA